CGAGCTCAACAAGCCACCCTTGGATCCAGTTTATGAAGAAGAAATGAAGCAACTTCGATATGCCATGTTGCTTTCAAAGATCAAGACCACTTTAGAGAAGGAACACCAAAATGATCCAAATTGTAATGTCAGTGGCACGAAAGATGAGCTTGGACGAGAGATTGAAGAAGGCGAGAGTGATGAAGATGAAGATGATAATAATGATGATGTTGACGATGCTGATGATGATGAGAATGATGATGATGATGACGATGATGATAATGATGATCAGTTGGGCAATGGAGGTGCTCAAGAAATCGACCCCGAAGACAGTCACACAATCTTGATCGGTCCTGACTATGACACCTACCCTCAAAGATCTCCCTTAAGAAGTCTACCATCTGACAGTGATGACTCGGAAGAAGTTTCAACTTCTCATCTCGAAGATCTATCTCGTGCCATTGTTCCACATATCCAACCCATAGACGAGACTCCAATCAAGCAAGGAAACGAAAGTATGCGTAAGGGCAAACTGGAAGCTTCACCAATTCTTCTTAGCTCAGCTAGTGGTGGAAAACGGGAAGCACCACCTCAAGAGGATCACATGGACACATCACCAACAAACATTGAGGAAGAATCCCCTGCAGAGTCCCCACGGACTATCATGAACATCATGAGAGGAACTGTTCATTCAGCCGAGACCATCCATAGGCAATATCTTGCTTTACGAGAAAAGGACACGAAAGTTGTGGATGATCTATGCAAGAAGGTCGATTTTCTGATAGCAGCACAATCTAAACCTCGATCTCCACCTCCAGCACAGCCTCAACCGCAGCAACAAAGCCAATCAGATCACAAGGTCCTGAGCGAATGACAAAGAAACTTTGTGATCTCGAAGCTTCTTTGAACAAAGTTGCGCGACAATAGCACGAAATCAAACACTCTCACTTTGGTCTCAAAGAGCGTGTGGATTTGGCCTGTACAAAGATTGACACATATCAAGACAATTCGTACCAACTGGGCGAATATGCACTTCAATTCTCGGGTATGCTCAGGATATCTTGCTTGCAATCAACAAGGTCTCCTCCATTCCTCCTACCACCTGTACTGATGATGCCAAAAAGGGGGAAAAGAGAAATGATGACAAAGATAAGGATGATGATCAGTCGAGAGATAGCACGAAAGATCAAGCTCGTGAAGCACGACACTCTCCCTCTCGGACACCAAGAGACCTTGACCAAAGGAACACGAATCATCCACCTTCCAAGTCTCGTGGTTACCACTCCTCGAAGCCAAGATATCATGGTCGATACCAATCCTCCAAACAAATTAAGCCTCGACAATCATTTGGTTCTGAAGCCAAATACATCTTCACTGGACTGCCAAAGAGAGAACAGACGAAATTAAGGCAGAAACTTATGAGAGACAACAAAGTAACTATGGATGGCATAGGAAACTTTGTGGACTTCGTCTCATATGAAGAGGGCAGTGGCAAATGATTCGAGGGTTGCAATAATCCCATTTGGTTGAAAACAAAAGACAATTATACAAGACAAAATCACATGAGCACTCAAAATGAGAGAATCAAAAGAGCAAACAAAGAACTGTGGAGGAAGCATGATGAAGAAAGAAAGAGAAGAGAAGATGAAGCAATGGAAAGAGAAAGGATCAGGAATCTCATTGAAGACCTTTCTAATGTAACCAAAGACTCCCCACAAAATGTCATGCACAATGCAGCTTTCAAAGTGCACAAGGAATCAGGAAAGAGCTACCAAGAAGGCATGAATTCGTTTGAACTGATCTCGTGGTGGAAGTATGGTATTGTTGAAGGAAGCAACATTCGGGAAGCCTACAACAATTACACTGGTCTGAACATCAAAGGAGAACATGAAGAGCTTGTGAGGACTAATCCTATTAAAGTCTTTAGAGCAAAAATCAATGAGAAAATTGACTTCAACAGGATGCTAAAGCAACAAAAGGAAAAGGATGACCAAGAACTCAAGGAAGCTGAACAACAGAAATCAAAGCTTTTAGAAATGTAAGTTAACTTTCGTTATGTTTCTCTTTATAAAGATTTTGTAATGATCACACCTTTATATATGAAACTCTCATTGTCACACATCTCGTGTCACTTATTTGAGTCACTTGTCCTTGTCTCGCTTTTTAACGCTTCAATCTAGAAAAAGACTTGTAAACCTTCAAATATGGCTGTTTTTATAATAAAAAAATCCTTATGGAACTTTTATCAGCCTTATAAGAAAAGTATAGGTTTTGGCATCATCAAAAAGGGGGAAATTGTTAGGAACATTGTATTAGGATTTTGATGATACCAATGTAATGTAGAAAAGTAGACCCCTAACCATTAGCTTTTTGTTTTGCTGCTTTCGTCCTAGACGAGAGTTGCCATAACTCCTCTGTAATTCGTGTTAAGCTAGACAAACACACGAAAATGAGTTATGACTAGATGTTAGGGTCTCCAAGGCGAAAGAAGACACGAGACATGAAGAACAACAACGAGAGTCAAGAAGGAGTTGTCAACAAGCACGAAAGGACAGTGTTTGTGAAAGACGATCGTTATCAAGCATTACTTCTCTTCAACAACGAGAAGAATATTTCACCTGTCTGATTTGACAACATCCTAGGACAATAAGGACTTCATCTTATGGGACACACTTTTCAAGAAGCATTAAATGAAGATGTACCGTCTCTTGGAGCTAAAGGGCAAAACCCTAATGCTTACCATACCTTCAACGGCTACATGGTACAACCTCATTAATGGAGCATTTAATGCATGAAGCTCCCCGGTCCTTGTCCAATGGTTAAAAGGTTCGAAAATTTCATCTCCCTCCAACGGATGGATTTTCATCACCTATATAAACTCACCTTCATCAACTAAGAAGGTGTTGGTTCATTATCACTCGACTTATCCACTTACAAAAGCTCTTGAAAAGTTTACTACTTACTAAAAGCTTTTGTGAACCAGTTTTGAGGTGCTAAGTTACTTGGAGAATCATTTGTCTTACACCTCAAGAAAGTCTTGACATCTGTTTGAAGCAATCATATCTTAGAGTCAAGACCTCATCGTTGGAGAATTCAAGAAATCATTTTCTACCAACCTCAACTCAGGAGAAGAAGTTGATAGAGGCGGAGTAAACTCGAGGAGTTGAAAAACCTACGAAGACTGTCCGGCTTAGTGATCAAGGAAGTCTTTGTGTATTTGTACTAAGAGTGTTAGTGCAATCCTTCCAACAGTTGTGGAAGAAGAGTGGAGTAGGCAACATTGGCTGAACCTGTTGGTCCCGAAAGGGTGGCGAGAAGTCTAGAGGGGGGGGGGGGTGGTGAATAGACTTCTCTAACTTTTTCAAACTTTCTTCGAAAACACACAAGGCAAATAACACTTTGGTAATTTCAACTCTAAGTAACAAGCATTAACAAGATAAGCAACTTAGAGTGTGCAGTGGAATAAGTAGCGGTAAAGTGTTATGCTTAATTAGTGCGGTGCTCAAAGAGATATTCTAAACATGCAACACGTTAGAAACACTTGATGTGGTTCAAAGATGATGTATGTAAAGTTTGGCTTGCATGCAAACGTGGGAACTATCAAACCTAGACAGATAAAGATATGCGATAAATCGTAATCGGGTTAGTTCGCAGTTAGAATAAGCATGCATGAAATGTATGAGCAGTAAGTAAACAGAGAGAGAGAGATTTATAGTGGTTCAGAGGTGGTGTAATCCTCCTAGTCCACTCTTCTCCTTTCACTTCAAGGAGGAAATTCACTATTCTTCGATCACCCAGATACAATAGTGAATAAGTGTCCACTGACACTTCTCCGAGTGCTTCGCACAAAGCTACACTCCTCCAAGGTTTTTCGCAAGCTCCTCTTGTTACTCCGCCTTCCCGAGTACTTCGCACCAAGCTGTACTCCTACACCACGAGAACTACGCACAAAGCTACGTCCTCTAAGGGTTTTCACAAGCTCCTCTTGTTACTCTGCCCTTCACCACGAGTGCTACGCACAAAGCTACACTCCACCAGGGTTTTTCACTCTCTCTAGTTACTCCGCCCTCTTTCTACACTCAGTAGAGAATATTACAAAGAAATAAAATTTCTCTCTCACTCAGACTTGAATTTTTTTCTATGAAGCTCTGTTTCCCCCTTTTTCGGCTAATAAAAAATATAGCTTGTATCTTTTGCTTGTATGTTTTAGCCGTTGTTCAAGTTGTTGAACTGTTCAATCTCTTGGGGTTTTTCTTGCTTAACTGCTCTCTTCTCATCTATGTCCGTCTGTCTTCAAGTCTGCTTGGACAATTTATAGCTAGTAAAAGCTATTTGCCCGTTGATCAACTTTCGATCTTGATCGTCCATTTTGAATTGTAGTTGATCAAAAGATATTGTCAACTTGATCTGAAATATTAGGTAGATGTCTTTTCTCCTTTTTTCAGATGATTTGAATAATTTGCCCGTTGCCGTTTCTTGAATTTTGTAGCCTCCAGAATTTGAATAAATTCGGCGCGGCAATCTTTGACATTTCTGGTCCTTCATAAATCACTACACCAAATTAGAGATTTAGCGGCGGTTTTTTTTTATGTTTAGCGGCAGTTGCAAACCGCCACTATTATGTTTCCCGGCGGTTACTGAACCGTGGCTAAATAGAGTGTCGCGATCGATTTAGCGGCGGTTTTCAACAACCGCGGGAATTAATGGTAAACTCATTTCGCGGCGGTTTTTAATGTATTTAGCGGCGGTTTCAAAACCGCCGCGAATAATTAGTTATTTTTATTTAATGTTTATCGACACTTACATAACCGCCGCCAAATATTTTTTTATTTTTACATTAAATTTTAGCGGCGGTTTTAAAACCGCCGCTAAATTATGCTTTATTTTTTAAATTATTTTTTATTTAATTGTAATGCCATTTTTGAACTGCAATTAAAACTTTTCATTAAATTTTACTTTTTATTTGTATAATCCTCATTAAATTGTGTTTTTTCTTGTAAATCTCTAAATTCAAATTTGCATTGCAACCACAAACAAACTCTATATACACATTCAATTGAAAAGAAAATCAATTGTAACAAATATTTGTCAAATAATATCAAAAAATATTCATGTACAATTGTCTACATATTAATTGAAATGTGCATACATAACTGAAAAGTATTTTGACATGAAAAATATAAAGCAACATAATAGTTTATTCAATATGACTGTTTCATGCAAAAGGAAATTGCCCATTTACATCATTACTAGACGATGAATATCATTTTTCACCCTAGATGAGAATTGATAGTCATGAATTTTCCTTGTAGTATTTTGAATCTTCGAAGACTCAACAACTCAGGAACTTGGAGAGCATGGCACGGGTGGTATAACATCCTGAATTGCTTTCCTCTGAATGGCTCATATAACATCCTGTTTTACAACCTATAGCCTGTATAACCAACAAACAATATCATCAACCCAGTTTTTTCAAATGATTACAGAAAACAAGCTTTCTTAAGACAGATAAAATACCTCAACATATGAATCTGATCACGGAAAGCTTTCTTAAGACAAATTAAATTAATTAATTTAAAAACCCCAAAAGCTCAATTCCAGCTTCCGAATACCTATATTTCCTGTTTAAGTAGAAGAAAATGTCAATAACACAATGGATTTTGAAGAATCAGTAAAAGCATTTTTTTCCCACAACATTGTTATAGCTCAAAGATATGCAAACTGCTAAGAAGTCAACCATAAGGAATATGGTACAACAATAAGATGTTCACAAAAGACGTACCAGCTTTATCAGAAGATGATAGACACATGATGATCATGCTGAATCTTGGGACCTTAGGCAGATTTCCAAGTACCTAACAGCCAAATCTTCATCTTTCCTGCTCATTAGAAGAAAATGTATCTTGGAACTAAGTTTGTGGTAATGGTAACCTGAAATGGTGAAATCACCCTTCTACATACTTACATGAAAAATGTGGCAATACACCGAGCAATGTCCATAAAGCATAAGCATAGGTGCAGATAATGTATTCTTAAATATCTGAGGTAATGCTGTGGGTGAAGTTACCTGAACTGATTATAATATAAAAGGTGAGCAGTAGAAAGGCATAAAACCAATGCAGTCTAAATGGTATAAACAGAGTGAAGCTGAAAACTGAAAGAAGCAAAGAAGAGTGCATTAGAGGAGACCTTCAGTATTGAACTTGTAGATTATAGTCACCGGAAAGTCCACGCCAAGAAACATCGAATTGATATGCTGAATTTGGTGGTGCAATATTTTTTGCAGCTACAGCTTTGGCATAACTAGCTGCTCGGGCAGCAAGCTCTTGCACAGACTCCTTCAGCTCTTGTTTATCACTTTTTCAATTTCTCTGTGGAAATTACAGGACGGTTGAGGCCACAAAACTCCTTTCTGTATTGAAAACACATAAGAGAATATTGAAATCTAAAAGAGCTTGTATAGTATTATTTCATTATCATTATTATACAAGGCTTGAAAACCAAACCTATGCAGTAGCCAAAGAAGAATTTGGATTTTGGATTAGCATCTGACTCTTTTGTGTCAAGTTCCATAGGGCTAGCTTCAATGTTTATGGAAGGCTTTGCAGGAAGAATTCTCTTACTTCCCTGCCAAAGAGTTGACATTTCAGCTAGCTTAAGAAAACTGAGAAAATGAATCCATTTATTATATGTTCACTGCTATTTCTAAAGGGAATTTTGAATTTTCTCTTGCTAATTATACATTGTAGAGACACTAGTCCAAACAAATGAATTAGATGTGCCTTGTGGCATATTATCCTTATTGTAGCACCTCAAGGTAGTAAAACATAGAACTAAATCCCCTAGACAAGAAATTTTCATACTAGAATAGTATACCAAAAGGTGCAAACAACTAAAAATAAATCCAAACATCTAGTGTTTTCCCATGAACCAAATCCAGGATTAAATTTAATGCAGCATTCATCCATTTAAAATCCAAAAGACCAATACTTATTCAGAATAACAACCTAAGTAAAAGTTACCAGAATTTTTGTTACCCGCTGAGAACTGCTCGAGACAGATTGAACAGTGGCCTCAGATTTCTTCATCTCCTCTTCTGGTTTTGCAGATTTTTGTGTCCTTTGAACAAATTTTTTTGGTTGATCCAGATACTTTCTTAAGAATTTCCTGTTCAGATTGATTGAACTGAGTCAAATAATTATAAATAAAAAATCAAATATGAATAATATTACATTTAATTACCTTGGACTTGCGAACAATGTCGACATATCGGAGCTAAGGGCACAACCGCGACCTTTGACAATGACGACGACGGAGGCCGTAGCGGTGACAACGGCGACGACTGTGAACTGCTGTACGAAGACCGGCGACGAATCCGACGAATCTGGCGATTGAGCTGAGTGCGAAGAAATTGCCGGCGAACTCTGCTACAATCGTTGTCACAGACGGCGAAGAGAAGGAGGGGGAGAGGGAATAAGGAGAGATTTTAGGGATTCGAATAGAGGGAAGAATGAGAGACTAACACTTATTTAACAATTTAGCAGGATATATACATCATACAATAAGTTAGCCACTTATTTTTAGTGGCGGTTTATATAACCGCCGCTAAACAATTATTTAGCGGCGGTTATAACAAACCGCCACTAATATTTTGTTGCTAAATGATTGGTTTTTTGTAGTGAATACTCTGACATGTCAAGTTGATCAAATAATTTATCTGTTGATTCTTGCTTGAGTATAAAATAATTTCTCCGCGAATCAGCCTCCTTTGAGCGTTTCCGGTTCCACCGTAAAAACTTGATGTTCAGATGAAAATATATCAGATATTTTCTCCTTCATGATCCTTGTAAAATAATATACTGGAACCTCTGTAAAAACTTCACTGTTGTTCATGGTGAGATGCTCTGTTTCGAATTTCTAGCTTGGTTCACCATACTTGGTGTGTTTCTCCATATGGTGGAGTCTCCAATTAGCTAATCTCCATTTTAGCTAGTCTCCAATACACTCAGGCTAGTCTCTCATACGGTTTGGTATACTTTGAGTTAGTCTCCCATACGGTATACGGTCCAATATACTTGACCTTGAGCTAGTCTCCCATACTGTCAAAGCTAGTCTCCCAAGCTTAAAAATGCTTCACTTGAGATTCAACGAACTTAGGATCATTTGGCATAGCTCACACGCATTTCTTCCAACTCCTCTAGCATGGTTCTTGGTGACTTATCCGCATCATAATTGTGTTAAGCTATAATCCCGCTTAACATCTAAAATCAACATGTGATTTTCCAGACTTGTACATGGGTTGCATGATATGGGTGCACCATACTCCGTAGACTCAAACTGACTCAAATAGAATAAAAATGGGGACTACTTGATTTTTCAAAAATACATTCGGCTCATCAAAATTTACAATATATTCCTAACAGAACCACTATAAAATCTCGTGTCCTCTCTATCTCCTTACTTACGCTTTTCCTTTTTGCTTTCATATCATTCCTTTATTATTGTTACCGTAAGTTTGTCTAAATACTGAAACTCGTGCAAAGTATCTAAAACAAATCTATCTTATCCGCTGCGCCAAGACACCGAAAGGTGACGTTTAGGGCTTCTAACGAAAAGAGTCTATTCACCCCCCCCCCCCCCTCTAGACTCTCATCTCATTCTATCGGGACCAACAATTACAATTAAGTTAATTATTTCTCCTTTTTTTCCATATTATTTTAGTAATATTAAAATTACATAAATCATATTACATATTGATTTTTTAAGATACTTGCAAAAAAATGTGTCATATATTATCCAATTAATTGAATATTACTTTGCACTAATCTTATAATCAAATAAAAATACATTTTTTTCAAAAAAATAAAAAATAAAAATAAAGGTACACTTTCAAATATTAGAATTGTTTATAATTTCATCTTTAATTTAATATCTATATATATATATATATATATATATATATATATATATATATAATATATATATATATATATATATTATATATATATATATATATATATATATATATATATATATATATATATATATATATATATTATATATATATATATATATATATATATATATATATATATATATATAAGTATCTGTGCATTCCACGGGTTATTGGACAATTATTTGCTCGAATTCAAGGAAAACATTAGTAAACATAAACGATCAAACATATTTCATCAATTGCACTATATAATATTCGTTGTTATAATTTATATAATTGTATATCGATCCAAATATTCTTAAAATATTATAACAAATACATTTCGTGCAATGCACATGTGAAAATATTAGTTAAGACTAATCTATATTTTAAAAACATAGTTATCAAGTATAAAAATAATGACTTTACACCAAAAGTGAATCAGACATCTAAACTCTAAAAAGGTGCAATTAAACCCTCAAACATGTCAAATTGAGGCAATGAGGCCCAAGAACGGGTTAATGACCTGTCATTACAAATCATTTCAGTTCAGGTGAAAATTCGGCGAAAATCGGTGACAGTTCTGCGAAGTGAGACCAACTGGTCGCCTTCTCCATGGAACGCGACCAGAGGCCGCCTTCTATGGAAATGGCGACCAGGTGTGACACCCCCGAATTTATTCCCGAAAAACCAAATTGATTTCCCCAAATAATTTCTAAGGATGGATTTAATCCTCATACTTATCCTTTTAACCTTTTATAACTTTTGCCTTAAATCTAGTTAATGGATTTATTTTGGCACAATCCTTTATCCTTTAAATGTGATCATTTGGTTGGACACTTATTTAATATGTTTTGGACCTTAGTACAAACTTAAAAATGTATATCTAATTTATGGCCCAAGTCTTATCCTACAACCTAATACACTCAGCCATGAACTCCTACCACTTAGCTAGAATCACTCTCAAACATCTTTGTGATGAAATCGGTGTTGAATAAATTATTTTGAGCCAATTTTAAGTAAATTCAACACCAGGATTTATTGTAAATCCAAAATCCTAAATTTTCGGGTACTTCGCGTACCAAGTTTTAAACTGAGAAACCAATCTGAGTGAGACCGGGAGAAAACCGAACCAAGTGTTTGTTTAGAAATCACCTTTGAAAAAATCTATTTTGAGCCCAAACTATTTACTAAAAACTTTTGATCTATAAAGTGTTGATTGCTGTAATTTGGGGCAAACAAATAATACCCGGAGTATTCGGGTTGTCGAACCACAGAGAGGTGGGGTACTAATCACTAGCTACTAGGTTACTCATATGAAACTAGTCCGAACAAAACTTGAAGGTTGATTGATTGCATAAAATAACAAGCAGAATAAAATAAGTAGCAAGGTTTTGTAGACAATAGAGCAAAATAAGATTCATGGAATTCAAGTATTTAATCACCTAGTGCCAATTATCGTTTGTAATATTTAGTTTGGAATTAAGATTTGTATGGGAATGCAAAGTGGAATCGAATTACTCCCGTAATCTCTATTCCTAGTGAATTTCCACTCCCATGGCTTAAACACCCAATAAGATCAAAGATCAGCATTCAATTATTCCTAATTACTACCATCTCCCGATGAGCAATAATCTAGAATAAACTTCCCCTAATAAGTTCCCCTTTCCCAAGGACCAACCATTAGGTGCAATCGTGTGTGCCCTAATTTATGCCCCAACTCCCATTGGTGACACAAACATGACTGTGAAGCTAGTAATTTAGGCCTTTAACTACCAACAACAACAGATTAAAACAAGATTGCAACACAAATCATAAAACCAAACATAAATATATTAAGAAATTAACGAACGAGGCACATAGGTTCATAAACAAATTCACCCAAAAATCCTTAAAGAATTTAGCCGAGCATGGCTAAATTATACATAGCAAATATGAATAAAGGATTACAAATCATCAAAAGAGTACAAGAATTAACCAAGCGATTCTCCCAAATCTCCTTGGCTTCCTCCTTGCTTCCAAAGACAACTTGAGCCTCTTGATTTCTCTCTTTCTTGTCTACAAAGAACTCTAAAAATCTCTCGGTCTCCTGGATTAGGGTTGAGGAAGGGGAGATTTTATAGTGGGTACAAAGTTGAGATGAAATAGGAATCTTGTACAAAATTGGACTCAAATTATAATTCCTATATTTAAATAAAGAAATTGCCGTATTTAATTTAAAATTGAAGTTGGAATTCGAATTTGGAATTGAAGTTGAGGATGCTGAAGCCAACGCCCTTTTGTATTAAGTTGGCGACTTCGTGCGTCGAGACCAGCAGGTCTCGATCACAAAACATTCTGGAAATTTTCGACACGTCGAGTCCTCTGGGCCCCGAACTTGTCCAAAATTGCTCCAAACTCATCCTTGAACTTCCCTTGCTCATAGAATTGACCTACAATGGTTCAAAAACACTCACAAACACCGTAAAACATTCAAAACAAGTGTGAACCATAATTAAATGATAATAGCAAGGAAAATATGTATTAAATAAGCAAAATTAAAGAACTTAAATACTGAGATGATTCAAAATAACTATAAAAACAAGCAAAGATGTGATAACATCAAGTGTATAACCCCTTGGACCGTGAGTTGCTTTTGTGCAGTGGCCGGGCCCTTGTGGCTCAGCTACGTGTTGTTTCGGGCCAGGTGTTACGAGCCCTTGTGGCTCGGTACCTCGGGGCCGTCTCGACACACGTGATGGTTTTGATTTCGTTGATTCTGGATTAGAAATGAGTATGATATGATAGAAATTGTATTGAAAGTGTCTATAGAAATGTGCAAGTGAGTTGTATTAAATTTATACTGCCTATTTGATCTTCCTGATGCTATTTGAGTGTTAAATGGAAAAGCATGATCACTTTGAAAATATGATTTATTATGAAAGCATGACTAGAATGTGATATTTGATCAATGAGATTTGAAGAATATTTTGTTGATAGAAATGTATAGAATTTGCTATGTTGCAAACCGAACATGATATTATATATTCTTGAGTATTTCATTGTTTTTATACATGGTTTAGAAGCATGTTATAGAGTATTTTGCATCTCACATATGTCATATTTCAAAAATGCATAAAGGGCCAACGTGAACCCAAGTATTACTTTCAAAAATTCATAAGCATGTGGTACATCATTATTTGATGCATTGAGAAGTTGAGAAGTTGTTGCATGCATGAGAGATATATCTATGTATTATCTATTGGTGAGGTTTTGGATGATACCGTTTGGACTAT